TCCGCTGGATATTCGGAAAACGGCGTTTCGGACAAGGTATGGCCATTACGAATTTGTGGTAATGCCATTTGGACTAAACAATGCACCGGCAGCCTTTATGAAGATGATGAATGGTGTTTTCCAAGAATTTTTAGACGAGTTTGTGATCATCTTCATCGATGACATACTTGTTTATTCTAAGGATTGGGAATCCCATCAAGATCATCTAAGGGCGGTGTTAGAACGGTTGAGAAAGCACGAGTTATTTGCAAAGTTAAGCAAGTGCTCGTTTTGGCAAAGGAGTATTGGATTCCTCGGACATATTGTTTCGGATAAAGGAGTGTCCGTCGATCCGGAGAAGATAAAATCTATTAAGGATTGGCCACGACCGAAGAATGCCACCGAGATAAGAAGTTTCCTCGGGTTGGCGGGATATTACCGAAGGTTCGTTAAGGGCTTTGCGAGTATGTCCCAACCGATGACTCGGCTAACCGGAAAGGATACAAAGTTTCAATGGTCGGAGGAATGTGAGAAAAGTTTCTCGGAATTGAAGGCTATGCTAACGAGCGCTCCGGTATTGGTGCTACCGGAAGAAGGTGAACCCTATATGGTCTATACGGATGCATCGATCACGGGACTAGGATGCGTATTGATGCAAAAGGGTAGTGTAATCGCTTATGCTTCAAGGCAATTGCGTAAACACGAAGGAAATTATCCTACGCATGACTTGGAAATGGTGGCGGTGGTGTTTGCCTTGAAGATTTGGCGATCGTATCTTTACGGAGCTAAAGTCCAAATCTTCACCGACCACAAGAGTCTTAAGTACATATTCACCCAGCCGGAGTTAAATCTAAGGCAAAGAAGGTGGATGGAATTCGTGGCGGATTACGACCTAGATATTGCATATCACCTAGGGGAAAGCAAATCAAGTCGCGGATGCCTTAAGTAGGAGACGTTTTAAAGTAGAAGCGGAGAAAAACCAAGAGGCTTTGGTCAACATGATGGGAACTTTGCATTTAAATGCATTGTCTAAGGATTATGAGCCATTGGGATTAGGTGCGGCCGATCAAGCCGATCTACTTAGTAGAATTCGTTTGGCCCAAGAGAAAGACAAGGAGATAAACGATTGGGCAAGGAACAATAAGACGGAATACCAAACGTCTAACAATGGTACGATTGGGTATGCGTGCCAAACGATAAGGAGTTGAAGGAAGAAATCCTCAAAGAGGCGCACCAATCGAAGTTCTCGATCCACCCCGGATCGAGTAAAATGTACCGAGACTTGAAACGATACTACCATTGGGTTGGAATGAAGAAGGACGTAGCGGCATGGGTTGCTAAGTGTTCGACGTGCCAACTAGTCAAGGCGGAACACCAAGTTCCGAGTGGATTGGTGCAAAATCTACCTATGCCGGAATGGAAGTGGGACTATGTAACAATGGACTTTGTTACCGGGTTACCTACGGGGATCATGTCTAAACACAATGCGGTTTGGGTTGTGGTGGACAGATTAACAAAGTCCGCACATTTTATGGCAATTTCTGAAACGGATGGAGCCGAAGAGATCGCAGCAAAGTACATAGACGAGATAGTCCGGTTACATGGGGTTCCGGTAAGCATTGTGTCGGATCGGGATACACGTTTCACGTCGCATTTCTGGAAGGCTTTCCAAAAAGCCTTGGGGACGCGGGTAAACTTGAGCACTATCATCCTCAAACGGATGGACAATCCGAGCGTACGATTCAAACCCTTGAGGACATGTTACGTGCATGCGTCTTGGATTGGGGTGGGAATTGGGAGAAGTACTTAAGGTTGGTGGAGTTCGCGTACAATAATAGCTGTCAAGCTAGTATTGGTATGTCGCCTTACGAAGCGTTGTACGGCCGAGCATGTCGGACGCCGCTATGTTGGACACCGGTGGGCGAACGCATGCTGTTTGGTCCGAAGATTGTGGATGAAACCACCGAAAAGATGAAGTTCCTTAAGATAAAACTAAAGGAAGCCCAAAACTGACAAAAAAGTTATGCGGATAAGCGTCGAAAAGAGTTGGAGTTCCAAGTGGGAGACTTGGTATATCTTAAGGCGGTGACTTATAAGGGAAAAGGGCGATTTACTACAAGGAAGAAATTGAGTCCAAGGTACGTTGGTCCATACAAGGTGATTGAAAGGGTAGGGGCTGTGGCGTACAAACTCCAACTACCACCAAAGTTGGATGCATTCCACAAGGTCTTCCATGTATCACAATTTCGGAAATGTCTAAGCGAACACGAGGAGCGTGTAGAAGATATTCCTTCCGAGTTGAAAGAAAACCTAACGGTGGAAGCAAGACCAATTCGAATCATGGATCGAATGGAGAAGGGGACTCGAAGGAAAAAGGTAAACATGGTAAAAGTTTTGTGGGATTGCGGTGGCCGCGAAGAATCTACTTGGGAAACGGAGAATAAGATGAAGGCCGATTTTCCTAAGTGGTTTAAGGAGATGGATGAAGATCCACTTGAGTCGGATTCGGGGACAAATCCCATTCAAGGGGGGGAGACTTGTAACACCCGCGATCCTCAATAGGATCGCCGGGGAAGACTTGGTTCGAGAGAAGGGTGGAAATCTCGGGCTAAGTCTAAGGGAAGCGGACAAAATGGCTTCCGAAGTACGTAACAAGCTGAAACAAGCTGAAAGTGTTGAGCTAACCAGCTCGACTAGCTGGACCAGCTGCTCGGTAGCTCACCTAAGCTGGACGGAGTGAAGGTCAGCTGGTCGAGTGACAGTCCAGCTGGGTCAGCTGGTCGGGTAGGAGGGTAGTATGGCGGTTGGGGTGGACGGTCACGTACGCTGGCCGAACAGATGCGGGTGAGCGGTTTGATCAAACACGTGCGAATAAACGGTTTCGGCGAACACATGTGAACGAGCGGTTTCCACCGAACAGGCACCAATGGGGTAAAACGGTTTATCCGTAAAAACTATAAATAGAAGGCGTTTCCTTCATTTGGACGACACGCGAAAACACCTAAAAATCCAGAGAAAACTCTAAGGCATTTGCCGAGAGGAATACGGTTAAAAGGAGAGTTTGCGGAGCCGAGCGTTCTATCGGCGATCGAGAGAGGCAACACGGATCATTCACCGATCGAATCCGTGTAGTCAAGGTGGGTGTAAAGCCGTGGTAATGTCTCGGAGATTACGATCTCCGGACGTGCGGATGGTATAAGGGCTAGAATATTGTGGGTTGTTTGATTAGTTCGTTGATCGGCCTAGTCATTCATGATCATATTCATATCGTGCATACTTTGTAAGGAGTAACGGTTTGGTTGAGACGGGGAGGCGGCTCGGCAAGGAATCGGCGGATCCGCGAGGATCTACCGGTTCTAGGCCGAACTGATGCGCTTACTTCCTCTCTCCGATCCGTTTTCCGGACCAAAGGATTATAAGAACATATAGTGCATTGCATGGACTTGCATCCACTAAGTAAAAGACGATTACTTATGCCTTGTTGGTTTCAGGAAAGGATGGTGATCGTGGGAAGGATTTGGCTTAGGCGCGAGAGACTCATGGCCGGGAAGATGGGTGGTGGTGAATCGGGTAGAATAGGATCGATTATATGACTTGTAATAGCTTATATGCAAACTCATAAGTTGTATCGAATCCTTTACTTATCTAATAAAGCATCCGATCGTTTGTTTTACTCTAAGATTGCATAATGACTCTAAATAATGAATCACGGAATAATATAAAACGGATTGTCTTAAGGAATGAACCCTAAAATTTGGCTAAGGATCGGACCACTTAGTGATCCGTTCGGGAAGAACCTCTCCGGACTTAGGGAGTCCGGGTTGGGGTCTTTCATGATGCATTGCCATGTCTCTCCCCAATCAACTGACAGAAAGAACTAGATTCCGTACGTAAGACCGCAGCTTTCTGATTTGGTAATTCTTGAGGTTCTTTCATTTTAAGGACCTCTCTCATTTCCTACTTCAAGCCATTATAGAAAATTTTCTCCAAGTGAGAATTATCCAACCCAATGACTTGAGCCGATAAATCCTCAAATTCCGTAACATTCGCAGCTACAGATCCAGTTTGTTTAATAGCAAACAAGCGATTACCTGGATCGCTTTCAACAGATTCACCAAAACGCAAGAAAAGTCTTTGTCGAAAATCATCCCAGGATCTAAACTCATTCTATTGCATCTCCCAATTAAACCACTTAAGCACATCTCCTTCCCAACTAAAGGCAACCAAATCCAATTTATCAGGATCGCGATATCTCCCAACTCGAAAAAATCGTTCTACCTTAGAAAACTACTCCTAAGGACCAGATCCATCAAAAATTGGCATCTCGATACGTCGAAGCAGACTCGATCTATTATCTAGTAAGATCGGAGTCTCCTCAACACCACGATGAGGTAAAACAGAAGAAGATGAACCTCGCGGAGACTGATTCGACTGCTCTGGTTGTTCCACCCGCTTCCCCTCACGTATCTCCATCCTCTCCAACGTCGCAACCATCGATCGTAACAAATTGTCCATAGAAACCAGCTTGTCTTCCTACTCCGCCTTCGCCTCACATAGACGCTTGTATCCACCGAGTAACACCTTAATGTTTCGCTCGTATTCATCACCACCGTAACTCTCCTCCTCATACAACTCAGATCCTTCACCTTTCACTATCGTGATTTAGATCGGACCAGTTTCACCGCACCAATGATAGATTGTTGTATCCGCTTTTAACTCAAACACAAGGATTCAATGAAAGAAAGAAGATCTGATTGACTATCAAAGCAATAATGAAACAAATCCAAATAACAATCGTTCGCTTAACATAAAGCTCACGATTACACAATGATTAACATAGATCAAAGCTGGAACATCTCCAGAATTATTCTCTCTCTCTCTAGAATCCAGATTAAAAGCATAAAAGAGAAAGTGAAGCCTCCAACGGCTATTTAAGCTTCATCCTCTGTAACAGCAAACCCTCTCTTCGCATGCAAAGGTTCTGCGTCTTTCTCTTTGTCACCAAAGCCTCTGATTCCTTCCACGTCTCTCGATTCAGTTGACTTAGGCTGACGTTCCGTTGACCTTTTCCTGTGATACGTCTGATGAATCATATCAGGTACTTGAACGAAATGGATATGATGGTTGCAGTGAAGAAATTGTCTGGTTGTTCCAAGCAGAGAAAGAAAGAGTTTGTAACCGAAGTTGAGAACGTTAGAAAACTGCGACATCAAAACCTGGTGCAACTCATTGGTTGGTGTGTATTGCATAGGGACATCAAGGCAAGCAATAGATTGTGAAGTGGTGATGATGGACTGCCTTGCAGGCAAATATGCCCATCAAGGTTTCGAATCCCCTCAAAATGTAACACATTGTATTCCCAATGTACAAGTTGATCATGCAACCTAAGTTAACGATGTGTCTCCACCGGCTACTCGTAGGAAAATACACAAACTAGTTACTCTCCATCCAATTTCTATTTCTTTGATGGAGGCTTTCTTAAGGTATACAAGATTACAAGGGTTACTTACACTAGTCAAAATCCATAGAATCTGTCACAACACGAGATCATACCTGACTCGTCAACATAAAAAGAAAAAACAATAACTTAAATCAGATTATGCTATTTCAAATAGAGAGGATATATTCCTCGCCGAGGTCATTTTATTCTTATTAGATCAAAACTCTTGTGAACCGAACCAATTTTAGCCAAAGGTAGATCCCAAAGTCCAAACTACTTTCTACATATATGATACCTATATAACAAAATTATATGCAAGAAACAGAACAGACCTACAAAGCATTGATCATCAAGACCAAATAATTTGACTTCTCAGCAATAGACCACAAGCCTCTTTAAGGCCAAAAACCTTCTGAAGAAACATTTTGAACAAATTGTCCTGATCATGAAAACAAATCGTCCTTCTTCCTTCTTCTCGTTCCCATTCTCCGTCTCCTCCTTTGTATCTAAACCTAATCCAGCCAACAAGACGAAGAATAAGGATGATAAATATAGCTACGAAGAGGACAAGCAATGTATAAGAAGGAGAAAGTTAAACCTTCGTTTTTGTGGATGGAGTTGTAATGTATCCCTGCTAGATAGCTCAAGTAAATGACTCTATTGGGGTGTTTTCGAGATTTGGGAAGAATCTCAGTGGAAGTGATATCTTTGAATGATGTAATGAGAGCTATTTTGACTCCATACACATATGCAGCTGCTTTCAGTGTTACTTCAAAACAATCTGCAAAATTAGGAAAAGTTTTCGAGATTGGTGATTTACTTGTTGTATGATGTCTTGTCTAACACGTTTATGATAATCCGAGGTTTTATAGAGTTGATCAGCTAAAGCACGAAACTGGCAATTTCCATCACTTTTAATCTTGATCTCTGATCCCACTCCAATCTGAAAACTATAAAGTCACAGAGAGTTATCGGGAAAAAACAAAATTGAACAAGAACAATCGATGGATATATATATACCTATCCTGAAGTCTTTCGTGATCATTGAGATTGTCAAAACATTGTGAGTGTTAGGCATATTTTGAGAGTTGGAATCGAACGATGATTGATACAAAACAAACTTGTCTTGATCGAAACCCTCTCTGACAAAACGATTAGGGTTCGGTTCATACTTCATACATACCAAAAACAAGGGTTACTAATGAGTCCCGGTTACTTGAGACTTGGGTCTAGGCCTGGTAATTTAAGCCCATATATATCACCATCCTTTTCCTAAATCAAAACTCGAAAGGAAATAGCTAAAGTCTAGTTATTTCCTAGTTGTCACGATTGTCTTTGTAAAGCCATCGCGAGAAATAGGCTATAAGGTTTTTATCAAAAGAATTTTCTAAAATTCTTTGTTTGAAAGAAACCTTTGTGTTGCAGTTTGTGTTTAGCAATTTCAATGAGGTCTCTGATGATATGCCATGGAAGAAAGGCTCTGGAGTTACATAAGTGGTGTAGTTTGATATCTCCATTAGAGCAAAACGCATCTACTTTTTCCAATTCTACTAGTGCTACATCACACGTGAGCTATAATGAGACTTTTATAATCTCTAATCTCATTGATTTATATCGTTGGACTAGAAAAATTACACAGCTGATATTAGAGGAAGATGAAGAGGAAGATGAAGATTCTGATTCCGTGTCGAATCTCACTAGAAGTCATTGTCGTATATCTAGAAATATTACTTGTTATCCACGACATCTTGTAGCAGATGGTGTAGAGAAAGCCCTTGCCCCAAAACTTGAGTTTCTCCAGTTCAGAAGAGCTTCAAGCTCTATCAGTTTCTACAATGATTCGACAATATATTCTGAGATGTATTTATTTTGAAACAAGTAGGCGTGCCTCAAGAGCTGTTAATTCCCTTGCTCAACTTCAATACCTCTTTCAATGGAAAAGAAAAATACAAAAAATCCATCAAGGAGGTCATTGAGGAGAGTTTTGATCCGACCACCTTAAAAGTTTTCCAAGCTCTGCGAGTTTTTTACTTATTGAGGGACTAAACAATAGAAGAATATAAGTCAATGACTATATAAGGTTAGGCATGGCTGTGAGAGATGTATGGGCAATGTTCAAGAAGCTTTCACACTCTTTGACAATCTCGCTCGGAGAGGAAACTCAAAACATGAATTGATGGCTATTTTCACTAGAAGAAAACAAGAAAAAAAGCTTCTGAATGAAGTTGTATCTGTTACTTGTTACTTTTTCTTGTAACTTGATGTGACTACAATTACACGATGCATTGATGAGGAGGCAATGACATATTTCTTAAATTCATGTTTCTTTTCTTTACTCCCAAGTTCTCATTGATTCCTTGAATAACTGATTCTCTTAATATCATGTACAAACGATTCTTTTATCTCATATTCTTATTCAAGGAGTAATCATTAATTATAGCTTAACCATTGGAAATTCTTGAGAATATGACAACAAATCAGATGTGAAGCAGAAGTCACATACTTATAAAATTCTTAAGAATATAACTTCTTGTTTTGTAAAATTAATGACTCCTCCTCAACAAAAAAAAATTCCGATTTTGACTAGATTCAATTTGAAAATAGTGAAGGCAATAAACATTTATATGGAAATGGAATGATAATACTTTGAGTAAACCTTCAAGACTTTCGACTCCCATAAGTACCAATGGCAAGTAGCTCAGGAAGTTATACAACAGAGCAATGTACTAAATGACGTGGAGCCGGAGTGAGGAACTCAACACATACATGGCAATATATGATCCAATAGACTGTTGTTGAAATAGTGTTTGGAGAGGATATTTGAAGCTTGAAGAGTTTCCTTTTCGGAAGAAAAATAAAACATAAAAAGAAATTTCCCTTTTCATATGGAAAAAGGAAACATGTCAAATTCCATTAACGATTAGTATTGATCCGTTAAGTAATAATTAGGTTTGTATGACCACGACTTATTGTTTTTTTTTGAAATGAATGTAAAATTTATTCAACCAAAAAACTTTTTACAATAAATGCATCTGTTTTTTCTAAAATTTTTGAAAGGAAAACAGAGTGTAAAGTTCTGAAAAAAAAATTGCAGAGAAGCTTTGATTAAGGTGGAGGTCGCGTGGAGAACCAGAGCATTATGCATTCATCGTAGCTATGGTCTCCCACGTCTCTGATCGAGCTAATTCTGTTCCGCACATTCTTGTCGATAAGATTTGTAAGGCGAGTTGAAGGTGAGCTGATTTCATCATGTCTTCTCATATTTCTCTCTCGCCAAATATGATAGAGGGAGGCTTGAAAAACGTAAAGGAAGAGGAAGAGAAGATCCTTGGTCAGAGTTGAGTTGCAGAGCAGTGCTACTAATTGATCCCAAACGACTTATTGTTTTTAAATAGTGTGCCAAGTATTTGTAGAGATTAGCACAAGAGAGAGCAAAAAAATTCTTAAACAGTAAGGTTTTGGGTTTCTTGTGCCAAAGCTCAACGTTTAAGGGGCCTAAGAGATTTGTCTTGAGAGGTTTGTGGATTGAGTTAGATCCTTGAAACGTGAGAGATTAGATAATTATTGAGTGAAACTTGTAAGTGCATGTACTAAACAGATTTTCTAATAAAAAGATTGATTTTACGAAACCCGTGTCTCAATTTATGCTTTAGTTCATGGACTAATTAGCTCTTGCGTTCTTAGCTGGTTCTATCTTGTCGAGCACAAACTCAGGAAAGATGCAAAGGACGCCATGGAAAGACTGCTCCATTATTTTGCCAATATATATACCAATCTTGTTGTGGATTTTGGCGGGTTACATGTTTCCCAAATATGTAAGGCGTGGCCATTTCTCAATGAAATTTAATTTCTGTAGCTTCACAACGTTAGTTCTTGAGATTATAAGCAGTAGGAAGAATTACAGACAGCAGACTTGGCTTGGTCACATATGTAAGTTTCACGTCAATCAAGTTTTCTTCTTTTCTTGCAATAACCAAAGGTTGCATGATTTTCTAGGCTTGAGAGTAATGGAACAGCGTTAGATCTCGTGAATCCAATTATCGTAGATTATTTCAGGAAGAGTAAAGTGGTTTGATGCATCCATATCGGATTATCGGTCTTTTATTTGTTAAAGAAGATCTTATAAAGCGTCTGATCTTGTTAACCATTTTCGTGATCATCAATAGTAATACTGTGACGTTACGATTCGCTCGAAAACCAGGATTTTTAATACTGTGAATTTTTTTAAGAGTAGAAAGCCGCTTGACTTTGATACATCTACCCCGAGCAAATCGATATATACCAACTTCATATATGATGCATCGACAAATGATTTATATCCTCGTTGTATATGATGTTTACCCCCGAAACAATCACCCTAATTCTAATAACATTTTACATAACCTACAAATATTTACATCTCTTTATCATATAATTATGCCAATACGTAAAATCTGAAACTAAAAAAGAAATTACAGTTCCCTATTTTAATAGACTCTGAAACCCTAAATATACATACATCCTAGAGTGAATTTGTGCAGAAACAAAAACGGAGTATAAAATTAGGAAAAAGGTCATTAGAGATGATTCTCTCTGACGATGTCCAAATAAGGGTTGAAAAGGGGTTTGGGGTTTGGATTTGACAGTTATTACAAAAAACCAATGCATGTTTTGTAGCTTCGCGTGGGGGGAAAGTATATGGCCTTAAGAAAAACCAAAAGAACAATCTAACATTTAATAAATGCTCAACAACTGAACTGACCTTTACGCCGCACTAGACAGAACAAAGTGTCTGTTACTAAATGCGGCCGACTTTAATTTGAATCTATAACGAAAATGTATGGATGAAAATTAAAAAGAAATTAAACCACTAACCTAATTGCGTAGCTATCTATTACTAAATTTAGCACTATATAGTTTGATATATAACTCTATGAAAGTGTATTGACATGTAGCTTATAAATTTTTAGATAAATAAATTCATTAACTAATTGGGAATTTTTGATGAAATTTGATTTTTTTCCAGGAAAAAAGCATGCTTCGATTTATTTCATGCATAGGCTATATGTTCCATCGTCTTCTTACTTTTTACCCTAAAATTTTTCTTTTGGTATTATTAGTTTATTTATCTAAATCTTGATCCATCTCCATAAATTTCCTTAGATCTGCATCTATGTTTTGTAGATCTATTTGTGGAGATCCAAAAATTGTTGTAGATTCCTATTTGTATCTCAAAAGTTGAATCTTCCGGCGAATAGATATACTATATAATTCTCTAGTACGACAGTGGGAATAGTAAACACGTCGCTGTTTTTCTATTCGGTTTGAATGAATTAGAACAAAATTAAGAGAGAGATGAATATGAGAAAAAAATAAACATTCAAGAGTTAGAAATTAAAAACGAAAACAAGACGTCAGATGCGTGAGATTAAAGTGGAAAGGAAAATGAGTTAAATATTAGTCCCTCTATTCCTAAAAGATTGATGTTCTAGCTTTTGTTATTTGTTCCACAAAAATTGATTTTCTAGCATTTCTTTATTTTATTGACTTATAATAGTAAATTGTAAACTTCAAGATACAATGATTATAAATCATTAACTTTTTCGAGTACTCTACTATTGGTTGATAATTATTAAAATTATTTAAGATTGAAAACAATGTTAAAATGATTAAACAATGATTGAGTTCTTAATGTGTGAAAACTCCAAAACATCAAACTATTAGAAACAGTGGGAGTATCATTGTCTTAGACTTCATATCAATATACCAAAAAATTTATTTGCCAAAAAATAGATGTCTCTCACCCAATTATCTCTACATTCTAAATAAAATATTCACCACCGGTTAAATTAGACCATAACCTGGAAGCATTCTCATACGTTTTTGTCAATAGCATTATTTCATTCAGTGGTTGTTCATAATTCTTCGAATAATTTTTTAACTCTTTTATTGATGTTTCTAGTCATTTAGTATAAGTAAAACAATTCGAGTTCAATCTAAAAAGTAAAAAACCATATGACTTCGTGATAATCTAATTTTAGAACGTTATTTCTGTACAGGTAACATTAACCAAATACATTGCATGCACTTGCACAAATGGTAAAGAATCTCTGTAATTTAATTTACCAAAAAAAGGAAAATGTGTTGTTGACTCCCTTATATAATTATTTTTTTCTTATCTTGCTATTAACAGGTAAAAATCAAACTTTATATAGATATTATCTAGTGGTTTCAAAACTCTTTTTTCATTTTCCCATTTTTCCTCCTTATATTTCTTATTATGCATCATTTTAAAAATGGGAAAATAAAACACATTAATTGTATGAACGAAATTCTTTGTATTGTAGTATTTGTTTGTTGATATAATCTAGTATATAATAATGCATAGATAGAATTATTAAAACCAGTTCATAAGAAAGAGGCTGAGAAAATCATATTCCAGAAATTTGGCTATCTATTTGTAAAACGAAGCCAAGACAATCCAAGCATTGGTCTGGTGGGATAAGAATCAGGTACAAATTTGAGTGACTAATATGAATAATCTACTTGAATAATATTGGTTTATATATAGTTTTTTTTTTGTTGATGATATATATTGGTTTATAGTTATTAATGTTTTCTTTCTGATTCAACAACTGTAGGGTGAAAAACGGATTTGTAACTTATAATTTCACTGTGACTCGCATAAGAAAGTTGTGAACGAAAGAGATGTCGATCCATCAAGCGAATGAAGTGGTTGTGAGCGAAGGTGAAGACAATGTTCCATTGTCGACGTTAAGAACCAAAGACACAAAGTTAAAGCAGAAGAGGGAGGAGAGTAAGGACATGCAAGTGAAGAAGAAAGCAAAGTTCGAGTGGAGACCGAGTGATTATTGTGCAAAGTCAATTGGCAAACCGATTAAGTTTACTGGTAAGGGAGGAAACAAGAAATGTCATTACGAGACATTCGAGTTTCATGGCAAAGAATATAGACTAGTGAGTTTTGTTATGTTTTAAGAACTGATTACAAAAAATTTCTAGAATTATTTTTTTTTAAAATAAGAGTTACACTTAGTTATACAACATTTTTTAAATTTGTGTGATAAGACTAAAACGATATTCATTATGTAACATATTTTCTTTTTCTGTTCTATCTGTGAAATTATATTGTAGTACCATTTACATTAGATTTTTCTTCAATTTTCGTAGGAAGACTTTGTGGAATTGGTTCCAGAAAACGGAAACCAAAAGGCCTACATAGCGATCATCAAGGTTAAAAAAAAAGATAAAAAAATGTTAATATGATTTTCATAATTAATAATTGATATGATTTTTTGATTGTTTGTTGGACAGGATATTTATATACGAGAAAAAGATGGACTTGTGAAAATGTTGGTGCAATGGTTTTACCGCAGAGAAGATATCGAAGAAAAACATGTTGGAAATTGGAAATGCGAAGACTCAAGGGAAATTTTCTTCAGATTCCATTATGCTGAAGTGTTTGCTGAATCTGTGAAGTACAAGTGTTTTGTGTATTTCGTGCCAGATGATAAGCAAATTCCAAACCGTATTCAGCCTTTCGTGCAAATGGTTTATGATAATGTTCACAATGAGATGAGGAAGTTCTCTGATGAAAGCTTTGACGAGGAGCAAAAGTTTGAGATTGATATTCTTGAGGCAAGGACGATTTCGAGAATTGGTGATCTCGTTGACGTTGAGAAAGTCCAAATGCCTACGATTCCGAGGCGTAGAAGATTAGTTAGGAAGTGTGAGAGAATGAGTACTTCTAAGCCGATCTCGGAGAAGTCAAAGTCGTTACCATCCAGTGATTTGGATCGTGACAAGATATTGGTGGAGCTTTTAGAAGTAGTACTTAAGAACATGTGTTGTGAAAGTACGGGGACCACCCGAAAGGATGTTGTTCAGGTGGTACTTGCTCTTGAGGAGGCTTTATATGATTCTTTCGCAGATGATATACCAAAGTATAATTACAAGTTGGAGCTTCTGGTCAAGAGACTCAAGGTTAGTTTACTTACTCATTGCTTCATTTGTTTTTTTATTGTGTAATTGTTTATACGTATAGCGTTAAATAATACGGCCTCTTACCATACATGGTAGATACCCCGTATATACGACTATATATCGTATATATACTTACATAATAGTATCTTGATTCACATCAATTACATGATCCAAGTAAGTTCTACACTAATATTCTTGTCTCCAATAAATTGTTTAAAAGATGTTCTCAGTTTGTTTACTGTCGAAATTAGCTTTTAGTTTCTTCATTTATTACACGTTTGAATTTGAGTGTTTAGTTGTGATCTCTTATTATTTGTTTACAGAATTCAAGAGTGCTAGCTAGAGGACTTCTCAGTGGCAAATTAAAACCTGAACAAGCTATAAAGATGGTAATCTACTAGTAAAACTGGAATGTTTCTGTTGAGCCAATACCACTGAACCTGAATCGCTTTTTTTCTTTTTTTACTTTTGATGAAATATAGGCCGACTTCGAAGAACCAAAATTGGTGGAAGATGTTGGGCACAAAGATTGTCTCGAAGATTAAACAAGATACTAAACATTAAATAACATATTTAATGATATCTTGCTCTTCTTTTCTTTGAATCTTAATCGTTTGAGGGATTTAATTTCCTAGAGTTTCCTTTCAAGATGTGATGCAGATCATTATTTCTTTTCTTTCAAGACTTATTATCTAAAACTTCAGTTATTAAAGTTTAAATATGTCAAAAGACTCATATTGGTTACATGTGTTGGCATGTATTTAACTTATGATTCAAATTAATTTATGTCACTGTTTTTAATTTATTTCCGGATAATTTAAATGGCTGTATATCATAGAATACATGAGACTTTGTATTATCCACCTAATAATCAAATTAATTAACGCTTGGGGCCTTGAAGGAGAAAACAAGGTTATAGATTTTGGATGATTAAACGTGACAAAATCCTAAGGTTTTTCTTTTCGGTTCGATGTTAAATTGTTAATATCATTCAAAGAAGTATACACTACCAAAAAAGTAGAGAGTGTTAAGGTTTTTCCCGCTATACAAAATTGGTTCTTAACATAACCTGATTTAAAGATAGTTATAATAAGTTTACATATAGTCAGTCCCGTATCAATCTATGGGAGGGTTTTTGGTAAAACTAAAAAAAAAAAAATTCTCTTGCTAAAAAAGAAGTTTCTAAAAATTAGACCCTTTTTTCACTAAATTTTTTGAAAATGGTTTTTGACCCATGGCAAATGCCTATGTTGCCATGGGGTAGAGACGAGCCTGCATATAGTGCAACACCAAATGCAAAAATGTATCAGCAAAAAATGGCTTACTTGATGAATTTGTTGAGATGATGTTTTGGATTGTCCTATCAATCTGCCGGAAAATTAAAATAGTCATATGAGATAGAAAAATCTGGTACGATATATAGTTATGTTCACCTTGTAAGTGATAAATGAGAGAGTGTTAGAGCATCTCCAAAGGGAGGTTTTCTCCTCAAAAAGTAGGGGTTCTCTCATATAATTGTAATAAAAATAAATGAAAATACATTAATATGCAGAGAATCGGGTCTCTTGAAAGAGCTTTTGTAACCTGAGAGAGCTGGTTACGTGGCAACCATGATTGGTTGGTTGAATTTTTTTAACAATTTTTTTTTGTCCTGTGCTCTATCTCTCTCTCGCTCGACTATCTTTCGCGACTAATTCTCTGTTGCTCATCTCTCTTGTTGATAACAGCCTAGTATCAGAAGCTTCTTAAGTTTGGTCTGAAAATCAGATCGAGATGCGATTGTTATGTTTATTACTCTGTTGGATCTCGTTTCTAACGTTATCAATCTCAATCGTTGCATCGTCGGATGATCAATTCACCGTCGACGGAACAGTACTAGAACTCACAGATTCGAATTTTGATTCGGCGATTTCAACTTTTGATTGCATCTTTGTTGATTGCTATGCTCCTTGGTGTGGCCACTGCAAGCGTCTCAATCTCGCTTTAGTACGATTTGGATTTGTTTGTTTGCAATTACTTTGTCGAATTTAGGTTTATTATTGGTTATATAACAATTGATCAATCCAATTTCAGTGTTATGTCATCGAATTTAATACAATGTTCGGTTTTAATGGAAGATGTGGCTTATTGATGCTTCAAATATGTTCTTCTTATGTTCTTTTTGTTGATCTAGTTGCAAGTAGATGCAACTGCTCCAATTCTAGCTATATTGAAGCAGCTCTATGACCATGGAGTTCCAATGGAGTACTAAGGATCAAGGAAAGCAGATTTGCTTGTCCGTTACTTGAAGAAGTTTGTTATGCTTTGGTATGCTTCGTTGTTATATGCTATGGAATTGAGGTTGGCTCTGGTTTGCCTTGTGTGTTATGTTATAGACATGGAATATAGTAATGTGATCCTTTTGTTTTAATAGGATTGTTAGAAGAATCAAACTCTTTTTTTTGATGATGTTGTCAGATTGTGTTGTGTCTCAGAGAATCAAGTTCAAGCGGTTTGTAGACAAGGAAACAGTTGAGCAAATGACAACTCTTAGAGAGATTCCAGAGATAAAACCCGGTTACATTGTGCAGCTAATAAAAGTCATATACAGTTTGCCTAGATTGTAATTTCTTTTTCTTGTGGGAATGGGATCAAGCTATCTTTCATCTTCTAAGTGAAACCTTTCATAGGCTTGCCATTTACTTTGTTTGAACAGGAAGTGCCTGAGAACAAGAGGCTTGTATTCAATTGTAGAAGCCGTCGTCGTAGCAAGGCGTAATGCTGGTCTTAACTCAACATATAGAATTAGAAGGCTTGTTGCTGGAGTGGGCGTAGAAACCATGTTCCCCTTGTAACTTCAAGCTTGTGCAACTACTTTAATATCTCTGTGCAATGGTGTTCTTGGTTGTAATGTCTCTAGTACTCTCTTAATTGATTGTACAATGTCTTGTACGAGTAAAAACAAACATGTATTGCAAACAAAAACATATATGTTTTGTTTTACAAATTTTAAAGTTTTTCATAAGAACCCCACCATTGGAGGAGACAAAACCTAATGACTCCAATTCAAGTTCTTAAGTTTGATAAAAGCAAAATTTAAACTTAAAAAATGGTGAGAGCCTCTTGAGGGGTTCTCACCATTGGAGATGCTCTTATATGATCTTCCTTAGGAGTAGCTGTGCATGTACCGATTGCATGATACACTATAACGACGTAACATGATAGATACACTACACTATCTTAACAAATAACATACCACAGTTTTAAATATACGACATTGCATGAATATGATTTTTATTTGTTGTCAATTAGATACACTACCTTAACAAATAACATACCAATTTTAAATATACGACATTGCATGAATATGATTTTTATTTGTTGTCAATTAGATGCAACCAACCACATTATAACAACATTTGATAAGCGTTTGGCAATAGTATCTTCTTGGCTTCTTAGAACACTTGTTTCAGACACAACAAAGCTTCTAACAATTACTTTTGATATTTGGATTAGGACGTACGTTTGTTGTCAGAGACCCGTAATCAAAACTACCAAACTTAAAATGTGGAATTCATTGACTTTTCCTATCAAAAACATTAATTGTTCTTAATGACTCCTTAAGACAGTCTATCAAAAAACAAAATCCTTAAGACCAAAAGATTGTGAAGTGGTGATGGTGGACTACCTTGGGCACAAATATGCCCATCAAGGTTTCGAATCCCCTTGAAAGTAAACAATATGTCTTCAATCTAATTGCTAATTGTGATCAAGTAAGCTTCACCTAACCAAGATCCCGCAGCTGAAGCAAACAAAGAAAATTTAGAGAAGAAGGAAGAAAGCAGATCATTGACTTTAAAATCCAACAATAACAAAACAAAAACACCTATATATGATTACCAGGACAATTCAATACAAGTAGCTGAAACACCATAAAACAATCGTAATGAAATTGAAATGCTTCATCATCAGTTAATTGTGTTCCATCATGGTCCTTTATATCAAACTTTACATAGAACTGTATAGTCTAAACTACTTTCTACCTATATATATAACAAAATTGTATGCAAGAAACAGAACAAACCTACAAAGCATTGATCACAAGAAACAGAACAAACCTACAAAATTATAATTTCTCTTCTCAGCAATAGACCACAGGCCTCTTTAAGGCCAAAACCTTCGGAAGAAACATTTTGAACAAATCGTCCTGATCATGAAAACAAATCGTCCTTCTTCTTCTTCTTTTTCTTCTTCTCATTCCCATTCTCCTTCTCCGTTTCCTCCTTTGTATCTAAACCTAATCCAGCCAACAAGACAAATAATAAGGATGATAAATATTGCTACGAAGAGGACAAGCAACGTATAAGAAGGAGAAAGTTAAACCTCCGTTTTTGTGAATGGAGTTGTAATGTATCCCCGCTAAATAGCTCAAGTAAATGACTATATCGGGTTGTTTTCGAGACTTGGGAAGAATCTCAGTGGAAGTGATATGTTCAAATGATGTAATGAGAACTATTTTGACTCCATACACATCTGCAGCTGCTTTCAATGTGACTTCATCACCCCACATTGAGGTATTCGACATGTTCTTTACATACTCGGAGAATTCCATCTTATCAACAAATCCTTTATACAACTTTGGATGAGATTTTAGCTGATTATATTAAAAAAAAAAGCAGGGTTCAATCATTAATCATAAAAAAAACAATCTGCAAAGTTAGAAAAAAGTTTCATGATTTGTTATATATTATTACCTATTGTATGATTTCTTGTCTAAGAACAATCTATGGATATATATACCTATCCTGAAGTCTTTCGTGATCATTGAGATCGCCAAAACATAGTGACATAATCCGAGTGTTAGGCATATTTTGAGAGTTGGAATCGAACAAAGATTGATACAAAACAAATTTGTCTTGATCGAAACCCTAGCTGACAAAACGATTAGGGTTCGGTTCATACCAAAAAAAAGGGTTAATAATGAGTCCCGATTACTTGAGACTTGGGCCTAGGCCTAGGATTTTAAGCCCATATTTATCACCATCCTTTTCTTAAATCAAAACTCGAAAGGAAATAGCTCAAGTAAAAAAGGAAAGTGTTTTAAGCAAAAGGAAAAAGATAAAGTGTATAGAAACACCAAAGCTTCATACATCTTCTTAATTAGTAAAGAGATTTGAAGAGTCCTCAAGGTTTTATATGATCTTGGTAAAGCCTAGTTGTCACGATTGTCTTTGTAGAGCCATCGCGAGAAATAGGCTAAGGTTTAAAGAATTTTCTATTAAAATTGTTTCTCGTAATTTCAATGAGGTCTCTGATGGTACGCCATGGAAGAAAGGCTCTGGAGTTACATAAGTGGTGTAGTTTGATATCTCCATTAGAGCAAAACGCATCTGCTTTTTCCAATTCTGCTAGTGCTACATCACATGTGAGCTCTAACGAGACTTTTATAATCTCTAATCTCATTGATTTATATCGTTGGACTAGAAAAATTACACAGCTGGTATTAGAGGAAGATGAAGAGGAAGAGGAAGATTCGAATTCCGTGTCGAATCTCACTAGAAGTCATTGTCGTATATCTAGAAACATTACTTGTTATCCACGTCATCTTGTAGCAGATGGTGTAGAGAAAGCCCTTGCCCCAAAACTTGAGTTTCTTCAGTTCAGAAGAGCTTCAAGCTCTATCAGTTTCTACAATGATTCGACAATATTTTCCGAGATGTATTTATTTTGAAACAACTAGGCGTGCCTCAAGAGTTGTTAATCCCCTTGCTCAACTTCAATACCTCTTTCAATGGAAAAGAAAAATACAAAAAATTCATCAAGGAGGTCATTGAGAAGGGTTTTGATCCTACCACCTTAAAAATTTTCCAAGCTCTGCGAGTTTTTTACTTATTGAGGGACTAAACAAAAGAAGAAAAAGTCAAAGACTATATAAGGTTAGGCATGGCTGTGGGAGATGTATGGGCAATGTTCAAGAAGCTTCCACACTCTCTGACAATCTTGGAGAAGAAGATAACTCAAAACATGAATTGATGGCTATTTTCACTAGAAGAAAACAAGAAAAAAAGCTTATGAATGAAGTTGTATCTGTTACATGTTCATTGCCTTTTTCTTGTAGCTTGATGTGATTACAATTAAATGATGCATTGATGAGGAGGCAATGACATATTGGTTAACTGATTCTCCTAAGTTCATGTTTCTTTCTTCTATATTCCCAAGTTCTCATTGATTCCTTGGATAACTGATTCTCTTAATTTCATGCTCAAACGATTATTATATCTTATTCAAGGAGGAGTCATTAATTATAGCTTAACCATTGGAAATTCTTGAGAATATGACAACTAATCAGAGAGATGTGAAGTAGAAGCCACATATTTATAAAATTCATAAGAATATAACTTCTTGTTTTGTAAAATTAATGACTCCTCAACCAAAAAAAAATCCGATATTGACTAGATTCAGTTAGAAAATAGTGAAGGCAATAAACATTTATATGGAATGATAATACTTTGAGTAAACCTTCAAGACGTTCGACTCCCATAAGTACCAATGGCAAGTAGCTCAGGAAGTTATACAACAGAGCAATGTACTAAATGACGTGGAGCCGGAGTGAGGAACTCAACACATACATGGCAATATATGATCCAATAGACTGTTGTTGAGATAGTGTTTGGAGAGGATATTTGAAGTTTGAAGAGTTTCCTTTTCGGAAGAAAAATAAAACATAAAAAGAAATTTCCTTTTTCATGTGGAAAAAGGAAACATGTCAAATTCCATTAACGATTAGTATTGATCCGTTAAGTAATAATTAGGCTTGTATGACCACGACTTATTGTTTTTTTTTTGAAATGAATGTAAAATTTATTCAACCAAAATTTTTTTTACAATAAATGCATCTGTTTGTTCTAAAATTTTTGAAAGGAAAACAGAGTGTAAAGTTCTGAAAAGAAATACAGAGAAGCTTTATTTAAGGTGGAGGTCGCGTGGAGAACCCGAGCATTAGGCATTCGTCGTAGCTATGGTCTCCCACGTCTCTGAACGAGCTAATTCTGTTCTGCACATTCTTGTCGATAAGCTTTGTAAGGCGAGTTGAAGGTGAGCTGATTTCATCATGTCTTCTCACATTTCTCTCTCGCCAAATATGATAGAGGGAGGCTTGAAAAACGTAACGGAAGAGGAAGAGAAGATCCTTGGTCAGAGTTGAGTTGCAGAGCAGTGCTACTAATTGATCCCAAACGACTTATTGTTTTTAAATAGTGTGCCAAGTTTTTGTAGATATTAGCACAAGAGAGAGCAAAAAAATTCTTAAACAGTAAGGTTTTGGGTTTCTTGTGACAAAGCTCAACGTTTAAGGGGCATAAGAGATTTGTCTTGAGAGGTTTGTGGATTGAGTTAGATCCTTGAAACGTGAGAGATTAGATA